TTTAGAAATTATAAAGAAAAAAATAAAAATTGATAGAAGTTATAAAGAAAAAAATAAAAATTGATAGAAATTATAAAGAAAAAAATAAAAATTAATATATATATATATATATTATAATAAATATTATATAAATTAGTCAGGCCAGACCGGGCTTTTATGACAAATCCCAAGTCCAACACGAAACACAATCGGGCTTGGTGTTTTGGGCCCGAGGTCAGACCCGCAGGCTTAACTACATGTCCAAACCCGACTGGGGTGCTGGCCGGGCCATCGGGCTACCCATGAGCAGGTCTAACCACGCCCATTGATTACATATGTTGATCAGTAAATCTCCCGTTAGGGCTGTTAACGGGTTGGGTGGACCTAATAGAATTGAACTAGACTGACCCTTGTTATTACACAGGGCCTAGTTTTGTATTATGCGTCCTGATTATAATTGGGTTTGATCAGTTTTGGTTGTTTTGGACCGAACCAAATTGAATCCAATACATTAATCTGCTCATAAACAGGTTTATTGTCAAATTAATTACTAGAGATGTCAATTATAATCCGATCTTATTGGGTCAGACCCAGTAATCTTGATTAGTGGACGGGTTGGCTCTGGGTCTGTTTATAGGTCAGATCTAGTATCAGTTTAGGATTGGAACTGTGTCCACACTGACCCGGACCAGACCAGACCAAACCATTGACAGCACTACCTCCATGGAACTGCTCTCATATGAGCCCAGAGCCCAGTCGCGATGGAACAATTTTCAGTTCTGACAGAAAGAAGAGACGTCAAAGCATCAGAATTTAATGTATGTAGTTGTAGGTAGCTCCATTATTTTAGACGGTTATAAATGGAAATCTGGTGAATGGTGACGATTCAAAGAATCAAAGTACAATCAATGAACCTCACTGTAATTCGGCCCACACCAATAAAGAGCCCAACTAGTCTGCGTACGGGCCCGGCCCCATTTGTTCTATAACCAATAGTAGCTTAGGTTTGTTCTTTCATTTTGGAAGAATATCTGGCTTTGGGCCCACGGAAGCTTCATTGCGGACAGAAGCGATCAGAGAGATTCAGGATCTCCACCTTTGAATGAGTCGCACATGGTCAGGCCAATATTCATCTGATCATGCATGGTACATGTCTTAGGTGGACTTTTGGACGTATTCAAATAGTGGGCCGGGTTCTTCTTTAAAAGAAAGGGATGGGCCACCACTCTCAAGTCACATTCTCCAAGAAAAAACCAAAATTATCCCTCTTTTGCCACGTGGCTGAGTATGGTTGGAGAGTATATGAATCTTCATAAAAAGTGGACTCTAATTGACAACTACTTTAGGGTTAGGACTTGGGGGAGCACTCACGTGAGGCATTTTGGATACTTCTTTATTTTTCTTTATTGTTAGTTTTTTACTTGTTTTTACTGGTAGGGTGTAGCCGTGTAGGAACGTATTTTATTAGTAAGAGTCTAAGAGACCATGGTCCCCCCTTATGGCCCGGAATTTCTTGTTAGGGGTGTTAATAGATTGGTTTTGGGTTGGATTCATCCAAACCGGAATAAATTTGAACGGATTGGATGGACCAACAACACCCATTGAATTGGATTGGATGTAGTCCATCCATAATGAATTTATATTGGATTAGGTTGGATTGAGCCAATATCTGATTCATTGATAGAAAATGAGAATTTAGGTGGCAATGGATCAGGTTTTGGTTGGAATTATTAAAATGAATTTGAACAAATTGGATGGTCCAGATATTGAATTGAACCAGTCGAAAATGGTCCAAAATATTCATTGGATTGGATTGGACCTGATCCATTTGTAATGGACTCACATTGAACTGGATCAAATTGGACCAAATACAAATCCCATTAACACCCTTATTCCCAGTTATGATGTGGATTTTGTCACCCTTTCCTCGAGGTTGGTCCCACCTCTGTTTGTTCCCTCTCCACCCCTTAAAAAAATCTTAGCTCTGCCCTGATAGAAAATGTCTTGTAGTATGACAAATGAGATCATAAGATGGAAGCATTTTGGGTTGGGAAACCAAATGTTCAGTAAAATCCATCTTAACAGATTTTCTCCTTATCTTATTCATATTTATTCACATGGGACAGAGGTTTGGGAGAGGACAAAGAATACAAGATTCCTTTGTGTGCAGAAAGGAAAGAGAGTTTCTCAAATTTTGGGGAAATTTGCAATAAATAACCATTACTGTCATTCCCACAATTGTTTTCTTAATATTGTCAGTTGGAAATTCAGTTTTAGTGATACTTGACAAGATTTTTGTGTCCAATGAAAAGGCATTTAGGATTTGGCCACTATTTAACTCTCCTAAGGCAAATTATATCACTTTGTGGAAAGTGAATCAAAACCACAGTTTAATGTGATTGATAGAGATTTGGATTTATTGTGTAGCCAATGTTAGTGAATACATTAATAAACTCAAGTAATCTTGTTCTACCAAATTTAAAGTCAAATATTTCATAATTTCACAGACCTTGTTTTTCTGATTTATCAATTGATTTCATCAAACAATTTTATTTCTTGTTCAGTTCTATATTTCGTTGTGAGTTTTATATGATGGGATTTTCACTTTCAAATAGTTTTGAGAATATATATGTTTTACATGAGATTTCAGTGGTATTTAGGGCAATGCTTTAATTGTCTAATTAAGAAATATGGCAATAATATACTGTTGGTATGTCCACTCCACATTTGATGAGGGGTTGCAATTTGCAAGGAAGTGTCATAGCTATGGCAGCAAATGTGAACATGGAAACAGATAAACAAAATTGCTCCTACTTGGTTGGAGATTTGGAGGACATGCATTCAATCAACTACATCTTACACCTTAGTTTTATGGTTGATGGAGTTAGCATTTAAGGGTTAAGGGTTTAGGGTTTAAGGGTTAAATACGTGACAGATGGACAAAACTTAACCACAAATTATGGGACTGGATTACTCTATTTTTTTTTGTAATTTAGATTCAATCATCCTAACATTATCATCATCAATTTATCATTTAAGCCATATCCCAACTCCCAACATGAATCTTTTTTCACCATTCTGTTCTGTTTAGTGTCATATCCAAGCACCCTCACATTCTGAAGCTGAACCAAATATCTCTTGTCAACCTCACTAGATTTACAAACAAATCAGATCAAGTCAGATATTCATGGATCCCAAATATGTTGATATAGTTTTTTTTTTTCAGATTTGGATCAGTTTGGATTCAGATTAATAAATATCATTGATAAAGTACAAAAACAATAAAATCATCATATTATCAACTATATGAAGTAAAAATGACTTTGATATTGTATATCATGACAAACGATCTAAGAATGACTTCTATCAAGACTCAACCTAAAAAAGTGTAACTTTCAAACAAACTTGCTGCCAAAGTCTAAGATAATCGAGATGGTTGCTTGGCATTAACCTCATTAAGTTCAGATTCTCCGTGGCATGTGATGGCAACCAACCATGATCATCATCATCATCATCTAAGTCTTGTCTCAACTATGTAAAGACAACTATAGGAATTGTGTTTTTCCATTCCATTCTAGGGGTGAGTAGATGGGTAGGTTCTATTCGAAACCAAATGGATCTGACCTTGAATCAGCCTTAACTAGCCTTATTCAATCTGTTACAGAGTAGGGTTTGGCTCCAAATCCTTGAAATTGACCCCACCTAGGCCAATTTTAGGGTCTAGGGGTTTACCCTGCATGAACTGATCCGATGAACTGGCCTTGGTTGTCATTGGTGGAACTTGCCTTGAAGCCAAACTTGCATTGAAATAAACCATATAATACATTTGGGGAATGGAAGATTTGAACCCAAACATTCATGGTTACAAAGGCCATGGTCTGACTTGACCATTGAGTTACTAAGTGATTTGATCATTCATTTTCATTTTAATATTTGAATGTGTGCAATAAATAGTATAAAATGTAATCTTTACAGAATTTAAATTCAATTTATAAGTTTTTAACCATATAATATAATCTATATATTAAGTATCTAATTTAAACAATAAAAATAATATAAGTTTTAATCTATATATTATATTTATTAAAAATCAAGTTTTTAAAGAACATGCTTTTTTTATGAAGGGAGAGAGTAAAAAAAGTACAAATTCCATGGATAAACCCTGGAACCAACCTCAAAATCATCAAGGCCAGAACCAACCTTCACAGAATAGATTCTAATTTCAAAAACCTAGGACCAACCCCTACAATGTAGGTTCCAAGTTCTACCATAGATCAAACCGAACCAAGCCGGCCCATACTGACCCCCTATTCCATTCTATTCATTCTATTTGTTGAGTGTTCATAAACCCTCTAATGATTTCTTACTATCTCGATTCTTATCATTTTTAATGCAATTATAAATATAAAGGAATCAAATTAGGACGGATTTTGAATTATAGCCCTAATTTACAACTCTAAAAATTGGTTACAAATGAGAACTCGGGGCTGTAAGTTGGGGGAAGGGTTGGTCTTCCGGAAGGTGCAAGTGAAGTCCCACAAAAATTCTAACTTTCCTCCATAAATTTTTGGTTGAATGACCAATCAGCACAGATCAGAATTTTATAAACCTCTCAAAGTACAGAGGAAATGCATCTGACCTTGAATTGAATTGATGTGATTTATAGGGGGAGAGGGCTAGTAATAGGGGGGCTGGAATTCAGAATTCGGCATCGTGTGTATCACGTACTTGTCCGTAAATCTTTTTGGCAATTTTTGCACACCTTATACAAACAACAAAACCCGATAAAAGTTAAAACCCAGTTGAGACATGATACCAACAACACACTCCAATGTGTCCCAACAGACTATCGCAGTCACACATTGGGAATATCTGCTCGTGAAGTTTTTTGTTGGGACAATATTTTGAGTTTTTGTTGGTAACAGATCCATGCCCACCATGCCCCACCCAGATTCCTTTTTCCCTTCCAATACAAAATTACAAACCAAAACGGAAAGCTGACAAGCAGAGCGCCATGGGTGATTTGGGGAGGAATGGAGGATTAGTGTGGTTGTTTGGCTGCCTTGAAGACATGCAGTCATGGTGAAAGCTTGGTTCTAGCATTCGGAGGAGAGCTACGGAGCTCGAGAAACCGACCCAGCTGCCTGTTGCCCTGCAATTACAGCCAATCCAGTAAAAAGCTCTGGTCAAACCTAAGAAAACGACATGGAATCCGTGAATTCTTTCTGTCGTTCTCACTCCATACTTACCTTTACCTCTTCAAAAAAATCTCTTTCTGGCTCCACGAACATGTCCACCTCTCGGGTTTATGTGCTTTTTATCTTTCCTGATACATTTTTCGTTGTTTTGTATCCGACGTCATCCATCTTTCTTACTTCTCACGAGATTGTTAAATTTAACTTCAATCATCGGATTCTTAGTTCTCACTTGACTGAATGCTATAAGTTGGACGGGGAAGCTTCTCTTGCTATTGTTCAATTCATTCTTTTGCTTGATTTTTTGATGGGTCATTGATTTGAACATTGTTAGTGTTGAATTTAGTGAGGATTTGCGATTGTTCTGTTGTATTTCTGGTAAGGAATGGAAAAGTGGTTGTTCTCCGTGTTCTTCTTGCTCCTGGTTTCTGGGTGCTTTTTTTCTGGTAGTGTTGTTGGGAAGTATTGCACCAACACCCTGAATGAGCTTTCATCCCACACATTCCGGTATGCACTCTTGTCGTCGAAGAATGAGACATGGAAAAAGGAGGTATTTTCTCATTACCATTTGACCCCAACTGATGACTCCGTGTGGATGAATCTGCTTCCTCGGAAGGTTTTGAAGGAGGAGGAGAAATTCAGTTGGGCAATGATGTACCGGAGAATGAAGAATACAGGGACGACTAATATTAATCAAGGGGGAGGGGATTTTCTTAAGGAAGTATCGTTGCACGACGTGACATTGGACCCAGATTCAATGCACGGGCATGCTCAGCAAACAAACTTAGAGTACTTGTTGATGCTGGATGTTGATAGACTGGTCTGGAGCTTTAGAAAGACAGCAGGTTTGCCGACACCAGGGACACCCTATGGAGGATGGGAGGGTGCAGATGTTGAGCTTCGGGGTCATTTTGTAGGTTGGTTTTGTCTCTCAATCTTAACCTTTCCTAGCTTTGGTACAGTTTCCACAACTGGGTGCTTTTTAATTTATTTATTTATTAGCCTTTGTTCTATTTTGTTTCTCTCAGATTGTGAAAATGGTAGACTGTGAAGTAAGTTTCCATGATTATTGATGCATCAATCCATCAACATGATAATTTATTGCAAATGCAATGAAATTTGAAAGGAAAAGAGGTAAATTGTCTGCAAAACAAAATTAAATCATCTGAAAAATAAGACCAAGACTGTACAAAAAAACTCCAGAGGCTCATATAGCACTCTATGTTTGCGCTCTTTACTTAAAATAATGTGTACTGTACTTCTCAGTCATGTCTATACAGCTTAAGCATAACAGTTTGTATTCAGCTGCAGGGTGCACATAGTTGAAAATATAGAGCTTATCCAGTGTTTAGATTGCAAAAGAATAAGGAGTAAGGAATACAATTTTTTATCTATCAAAACAGCATATCTGCAAAATAGCAAATTTCAGCATATTTGCTAATTTTCTAGGAACCATGCTCTTTTTCAATAGAAAAAAGAAACCATTCCCCCTTTCTCAATAGAGGAGTAAATTAGAATCCACAAAAAATCCTTGAATTTACAGAAACGCACATGAATCCAATTCTAACATCTGAATTTCTTTTTATGTTTTGAATAAAATTGGTGCTTCAGTTTGTGTGTATTATGGATTCACATTGTTTAATACATCATTAACAAGTGGAATTTCTTTGGTACTGTACTAATTTCCTTTTATGGTCAATTGGAAAAGTTTTTCAAGTTAATGTGGAAGTATTCTCATTGCACGCCCCAAAATATCTAACTATCGGCAGCTATGAGTCACTCAGGCAGAGTAAACTGAAAGAAAAAAGGGCCCAACTCAAACCTGATCTGGTTATCAATTGGGCTGAGAACATCAACCATAAATTGAGAGAAACACCAAGCAGACCTGAAAAGAATGGAAGGGGAGGGGGAGTGGGTGTGGAGGTCAAGAATTTCTGTCTCTATTATCTAACCTTTAAGTGGTGAACTATTCACTAGGTATACTTTCAGTTCTTTATGGTCATTAAATTTCTAATTTCTTGATTCATCAAGTATATTTCCTTGGATAACTGAAAAGTGGAATGAGATAGAGAACTGCATCAACTTAAACTGCCCTTATTTGATTTCACTCATTGAGCTTGGCATGAACTTTGAAATGGTTATCAACATGGAAAATTGTATATGCTTTCTTCTTTCTGGTTTTTGAGGTTTCGATTCACATGTTTGTAATAAGCTACTTGCTGAATCTTGAAGGGCATTACATGAGCGCTTCAGCAAAAATGTGGGCCAGTACTCACAATGATACTCTCAACAAGAAGATGGCTGCAGTGGTTTCTGCACTTGATGCCTGTCAGAAGAAAATAGGCACTGGATACCTCTCAGCGTTTCCAACTGAGCTATTTGACCGACTTGAATCTTTGGAACCAGTGTGGGCACCATATTACACTATTCACAAGGTAAAGTCTGCTTCTAAATATTTTATTAATTGGTTCAAAACTCAACGGTTGTAGGCTTCTAGAAATATTTCATTGTTTAACTAGTCCTGTTTGTTTTGATAGATCATGGCGGGCCTTTTAGATCAGTATTCAATTGGAGGAAACAGTCAAGCTTTACAAATGGTGGTCTGGATGGCTGAGTACTTTTATAACCGTGTACAAAATGTTATATCAAAATATACTATTGAACGACACTGGATGTCAATTAATGATGAAACAGGCGGAATGAATGACGTCCTTTATAAACTGTACAGCATTACGGTAAAGCCTATCCATCTAACTCCTGCAGTCTTGACTTTGTACTGCATTTACACAGTTTCCCAACAGTACTAGTTGACTTGGGTATTTTGATCTAAGCAAGATTTCTCTCTCTCTCTCTCTCTCTATATATATATATATATAGAGAGAGAGAGAGAGAGAATGATTGGTGCATGGCCCTATGTAATCTGATGGTTCTTGATATAGTGGTGATGCTAGAGTTTCATGTTCTTATCTTGTTTTCTGGACCCTAACTAACTTCTGTCTCTTTTGCTGCACCTTTTAGGGCTCAGACCGGATAAATTCCATCGCCTTATATTTCATTTACCCTTCATGCTATACCATGACACTAGTTTTTTCATTATCTCAAGATGCATAGTGGTTCTATTGCCATAGTGGTTTTTTCCTAGGATAGGTTTGTATAAGGGAAAGAAAATTTTATTTTTTCTATAAAAGGGGGAAATATCTAAAATATTTCAGGTTGAAAAGTTTTCTGATGACATTGTTTTAACTGATGAAACTGATGAATGATTAGATACAAAATTAAGCTTATGGACAAATACCGTAGAGAAAAGAGGTTTTAAAATAAGTAGGACTTAAACAGAAATATCATATGTGACCAAGGTATACTTAGGATTGGAGACAAGAGATAACTCAATGTGACCTTTTCCAGTAGGGCTTTGATAATTCATAACAAGGGAGAGATTGAGGATATTGCCTATAGAATTAGAGTAGGATTGTGGTAGGCAGCTACCATTTAGATTAGAAGGAAAGTTCTATGAAACGGTGTGAGGCCAGCCATGCTTTATGAAGCACAGTGTTGGGAAGTCAAAAAACAACTTACTATTTGTACCTTTAATGGTTTATGGACGTCATAAGTTTGCTTATTTTTGTGATTATTTTCCTTTTATCAATTCTTGTAGGATTCAGAGGCTGAATGTAATATTTTATTGGAAATATCTGCAGGGAGATAAGAAACATTTAGTATTAGCCCACCTATTTGACAAACCATGCTTTCTAGGTTTGCTGGCAGTACAGGTGAATATTGTTTTCATTTAATCAGTTGTCAATTCCTTTTTTTGTCATCATAGAGATAATTTTCTTTATAATCTGTTTGTGGATATATGAAAGAAGATTATTGTTGTCTTTGTTATTTCCTTTTTTATATTATCCTTTTGAGTAAACAAGTGAAGCTGTCAGTTACCCTTTGATATCTTTTGCACTATGATATAAATAATGGCTATCCTTGGTTGAAACCTGAAATTGTGGAAATCAGTTTTAGTAGCTTGCTATTTTATATAAGAAATTGCTAATACCATAACTAGTTTCTTGCCCACAAGTATTTGTTCTCTAATTCAGTTGAGGAAAGCACAGCTATGACATATCCCCTTAAAATTCATTGTTTCAAAAAAATAAATAAATAGATAAAATGCAGAATTACTAAATTTGATCCTAATGACAGGAAAGTGCAAACAACAATTCTTGAAGAGACATATCCATTCATTTTAATTTTATGCAAGGATTTGTATAGATAATTATGTCTGTAATGATTCTTCTTCAATATAACAACTCCAGAAGCTCTATGCTTATATGTATTTAACATGTTATATCCATATTTTTCTACCTCATTTCTCATGTCACCAATTTCTTTTGTTCAGGTTGATAGTATTTCTGGTTTTCATGCCAATACACATATCCCAGTTGTTATTGGATCTCAGATGCGCTATGAAGTTACTGGTGATCCACTTTATATGGTACATGATTTAGAGTATTTTATGGATCATCTTCTTTGTTCTGCCAAAATGTCTTCCCAATACTTTTGCTTTGTTATATGGAGTTTGATTTGTGTTCGATAGTTTTCTTTGAATCCACAATGGAATACTACTCAGGATTCATATTTGATTGCAAAACCCATGCTTTAAAACAAAGAATGTAATTCGTTGCTTGAATGAACTTCCTTATCAATGAATTGATGCTTTTAAAAAATCCAGAGAAGAGACGTGGTGTGACAAATATTCCAATTTTATATGAGGCTTGTTATATTTCTAATCATCTTTATTGCTCTGTGTCTTTAGAGGCTGTTCTATGAACCTGTTTTCCTCCCATGAGTCAACCATTGAAATGATTAATTCAAGATGGTCTGTTCATGAGCTATATATGATTTTTTTTTTCTATTACAGATGACTAAACTGTGACCATCAATAGTTTTCTAGATTTGTTCATTGTAAGGAGAAATACTGATACTAACTATTACAAAGGTATGAGTAAAAATTATTAAAATTACCTATTATTAAAGGATAATAAGGGAATCAATGTTTAAATATCTCTCAGGGAAACCTCTAAATAAGAATGTTTTGGCATTCCTCGTTTACCTCTCTGTATTTCTCTCTCTCCCTATGAATCAGCCACAGCTTACACCATTTACAGGTAACTTCCTGGCATTTTTTTCTCATGGAATTCTGATCGATGTGCAATATTATATTGATTTTTGCCACATTTGTGCTAACATCCCAAAGTTTGGGGGAATGCTATTGCATGGTCCATAGCTAATTAGAGGCCTCTAACCAAAAAGGAGAAAAGTTAAACAGGTCCTATCTCTTTTTGCTAGCATCCCTCTGAATTGGTTATCATGAGTGCTTAGGCTATAAATATTTGAGATGTCATTTCAGACAATACTCACTTATGTCCACTGTGATATTATTACTATGGTATGGCATTTCAATTAACTACCTTGTGTTTAATTTTTTCCATCATTAAGTAATGCAGATTTGCTGACTGGTTTTAGCTCCCATAGCTCATCTTTTCGTAACAGAGGCATATGAACTTCCATAAGGCTTTTCTCATTCTCACAAAGACATAATGACTGCATTTTCCTTAAGGATGTGTGTGGTTTGAAAGAAAAGGAAAAGAAACCTCTTTGGTAATAGAAAAGGTTTTCCTTCCTTTTCTTTCAAACCAAACACATCCTAAAGGAAATTTTTTCTCCTGGTGTGCAGCCCACAAGTAGTTGAATGGATTGAGCTATAGTCAGTTTTGTGATAGGGATATCTTGTTCTTATGTTAATATCTTGTATTGTATACCTGATTTATATATTGTATGTACATGTCATGCACTTCGTTCTCTTTTTTGATTGTCAGTGCAGTACATTACCTTTACAAAAAAATCTCCACCTTACAGACATTTTTTCTATATTAGGGGGATATGTAGGAAAATTCTCTACTGCCAAAAGTTCAAATCTAATGGAAATTTCTTTTTCTTTTTCGTTTTCTTTTTCTTTAACTTTTTAGCTACATTTCTATTTTCATTATAACTTTTGAATTTTATTTTGGTCTATAATTTGGTGTCAGGCAATAAGTACATTCTTTATGGAAATTGTGAATTCTTCTCATGCTTATGCAACAGGGGGGACATCAGCCAGTGAGTTCTGGTAGGCAGCTTTTGTTTCGAGCAATTCTAAGCATACTTTTTTTTTATATGTCATTTCAAGTTGGTACCCCTAGTAGGTGGACCCCACACAGTATTCCATGTGTGGTGTATGATGGATTTGTAAGGCATACAAGGAAAAAAAAAAGATTGTATGGTTGGCATTTTTCTTTGTTTTATGAGTCTTTGTGGTGTATTGTCCCTTTTATTTTCTGAACCTATCTTTTATATTCTCTGTATTGATTTATGGGCAGGTCTGACCCAAAACGGCTAGTAAGCACTTTAAGCACAGAGAATGAAGAATCCTGTACTACTTACAACATGCTAAAGGTATGTCATTTATTTTCTTTTAGTTTGTTGATTGAGAGCATGGAATACATACATATCATGTGATTTTGTGGAAGAGTCTTTATGTGATATATCACATACTTATTGAGCTCAGTGCATGAAAGTGGGGATTATTCAAATCTTGTTTTCTTGGTATCAGCCAGCATGATATCTGAGAAAGGATACAGATCTGAAAAATTATGTTGAACTATTGATAACCCTTGTTTAGTGTATTAATCATTTGATCTTAATCAGCTGATAGGAAATCATGTGTTATTTGTGAAATGAAACACCAAATGGACCCTAGTTTAGGTTGAACAACAAAGATCCATTTTTAGTGTCTTAATCATTTCATCTTAATCAGCTTATAGAAAACCATGTATTAACTGTAAAGTGGAACACCAAATGGACCTTATCTTTCTAGTTTAGGCTGAACAATGTAATACCCTTTTCCGGTTTCTTAATCATTTGATCTTCATCAACCTATATGAAAATGAAATCATATATTAACTTTGAAATGGAACACAAAATCAATCTTATCTCTCTAGTTTATATTCAACAATGAAATATCCTTTTTTAGTGTCTAATTCATTTGATCTTCATCAGCCTACAGGAAATCATTTATTAATTTTGAAATGGAACATCAAATTCACCTTATCTTTATAGTTTGTTAACTGCTTAAATTTATTTCAATAATCATGAAAGCAATAGGGAGGAAACTTGTGTGGCTCAGGTTGAGCATTTGCTATAATGACATAATGACATCTTTGACATTATTAAAGTCTTTAAAGATAAGCACACCTTGTGAAATGTGAACCAATGAAAAGTAAGTAGCAAACTATGTGACATCTTTAATGTGATTGGTTGAAACTTTAATGCAACATGCTGTAAAAATTTTGAAATGCACCATAGTTGGGCTCGTGTATTTTGTCTTGTATCTCAACTTATATTGTAACATTTTCACATTGCCCCCACCATTGTCTCTTTTACTTAATTATGCAAGTAATCTGTGGGACCCCCTTTTGTATTTTAAGTTGTATAAAATTCTTCCATTGTTATTGCATTTTCTCAACAACATCTGCACTTCTTTTTGTAGGTTTCACGTCACCTATTTAGATGGACCAAAGAAATGGCTTATGTAGATTATTATGAGCGTGCCCTGACAAATGGTGTGCTTAGTATTCAGAGAGGAAGGGAACCTGGAGTAATGATCTATATGCTTCCTCAGGCCCCTGGAGATTCCAAAGCAAGAAGTTACCATGGATGGGGAACAAAGTTTGACTCCTTTTGGTGTTGTTATGGGACAGGTTTGTAGTCCAGGCTCTATATTTAGCTTTTGTATTCATTGAAAACTTCTGCTGGTTTAAATCTCCCCCTAGAGTATGCTCAAATTTTAGAGCTTATGTTCCACATACTCTGCACACGGGTGCAGTTTTTTAATAGATACTTCACCCTTGATGGGGACTAAAAGATTTTTGATCCATTTGACTGAATATGTAGGAAATTCAATATTATGAAGGGAAACAATTGGTTTATATTTCTAATTGCCTTTGTGACTTAAATGGAGCAATTTTGAGTAGATTTCTAGTAATATAACTTTACTGATGATGTTTAAACTGACTCTGAGGGCTACTGATGTTAATTTTTTTTTATCATTTTATCTGATTCATAGATTCATTATTCTTGCTCTTTCTTTTTCAGGAATTGAATCATTCTCAAAGCTAGGAGACTCCATTTACTTTGAGGAGGAAGGGAAATCTCCAGGACTCTATGTTATCCAATTTATATCAAGTTCTCTTGACTGGAAATCTGGACAGTTTGTGTTAAATCAAAAAGTAGAACCTGTTGTTTCCTGGGATCCTTACCTCCGAGTGACATTTGCAGTTTCTACAGAACAGGTAAATTAGAGGAAAGATTCAATCATACAAGGAATTAATTCAATTTTTCTTTTCTTTTCCCCTTGAATGCAATTGCAATATTATTGAGTTAAAATAATTATTCCATCTTATGAACTTCATAGGAATTCAATAATGCTTTTATCATTTCAGATTTTGTAATTGAGATGTTATTTTTGATGTAAAAATTCTTCAATATGCAAGTCCTTGAATGTTATTTCATTTAATAGAAGGCAAATGGTTTGGCTAATTTTGATTCTGTATTTGCTTTGTGCAGAAGCTAGGCCAATCATCAACCTTAAATCTGCGGGTCCCAATTTGGACATACCTAAGTGATGCCAAGGCATCATTAAATGCACAGAATTTGCCTCTACCAGTTCCAGGTGTGGACTAACTTTTATTCTCTTTTTATGACATAGTACCTTCTTTTCATTTTCCTATTTACTCATTTGATATGTTAATTTTCTCATATATTTATGTAAACCATTTATTACATTAGGAAAGTAGTTCATTAATCATTTATTGTTCCATGAGCAGGCAGCTTTCTGTCAATTACAAGAAAATGGAGTCATGGTGATAGATTGATCCTTCAGCTTCCAATCAGCTTAAGAACAGAAGCCATAAAAGGTAGCACCTCTGGAGCCTCTCTATATCCAATTTATCTTCTATGCTTGATGCATCCGGCATAGTACTCTGCCATGCATTATATCAATTAGGTGCAAGCCTAATACAAAATGTAAGATGTTTGCTGTTATAGTGTTATGTTCTGAATATAACTGACATTGCTTTCTGATGAAATGTAGATGATCGACCTCCGTATGCTTCTATTCAAGCTATCCTTTTTGGACCCTACCTTCTTGCTGGTCTGACCAGTAAGGACTGGGACATCAAAACAGGAGGAGCAAGTTCTCTCTCAGATTGGATAACTGCAGTCCCAGCTGCATATAATTCTCAGATAATTTCTCTTGCCCAGGAAGTCAGTGATGTGGCCTTTGTATTCACAAATTCTAATAACTCAATTAAAATGGAGAAGTTGCCAGAGTCTGGCACAGATTCTGCTGTTCATGCCACCTTCAGACTTGTACCCAAAGACGTGAACTCGTCTGGTTTCTTATCTCCGATGGATGCTATTGGCAAGTCAGTCATGCTAGAACCATTTGATCTTCCAGGAATGGTTGTGGTACAACAAGGACCAAAAGAGAAGCTTACAGTGTCAAATGATGACAGTGACAATGATTCATCTGTGTTCCGCGTTGTTGCAGGACTGAATGGAAGGACTGATACAGTTTCATTGGAATCAGAAAGCCATAAAGGGTGCTTCGTCTATAGTGGAGTGAATTATAATGCTGGCACGAGCGTTCAGCTCATCTGCCAGTCAGGTTCAACTGATTCTGAATTCCTGCAGGCAGCAAGTTTTGTATTGAAAGGGGGCATGGCTGAGTATCATCCCATCAGCTTTGTAGCAAAGGGAGCAAGGAGAAATTTCTTGCTGACACCACTGCTGAGTTTAAGAGATGAATCATATACTGTTTATTTCAACATTCAATCTTGATTTTGAGAAAGGTGGTTGTGTTCCCAAGGATGAGTTTTCCAACTCATATAATAAGTTCATTTCCTCTCTTATGTGGTGAAGAATTGAAAACCAAGTACTAAATCAAACTTAACTAACAGATATTTCCTAGTTGTATATACATGTGCTATATATACAAAAATATTATTTGCTTTTTTTCTGGGTGGACCTGGATTTTATATCATACAACTGAAATCTCCATTGTAGAGTAAGCAGCAATGGTTGGATCTGCCATGAAAAGAAATTCCAATCTTAGAACATGATTATACTTGATTAAATAATAATTAAATTCACCATTGTAAGATTTTTATCTTTACATATTTTCATTTTTCCCTGCTAGATTTCTTCAACCATTGTTGCTTACTTCAGAAAGCAGGAAAAATGAAACAGAGAAAGAATTGGATGATTTTGTTTGTGAAGCATTCTAGATGATCCTACGGTTCCTACCTATTTCACTCATGTTGAGCTATCATGTGGCCAATCTGAGCTGTCCATTGGATAGGGGGATTCCCTGTACTGACCATGTGTCCTTTGCATCAGTTTTCATTAGCTCTATGATCCACCTTGTGTTTTCCAGAGTTTCAATGTTCTCATATTGAAAAGTTCTCCTGAGCAAGGGTTAATTTTGGATCACTGAAAGGGATTTGTTTATGCTGAAATGTACCCCACAAGAGATGTTAGTGAACATATAACACTGGTACTTCTACATTGAGAACTCATAATTTAGTCAGTAATCACTCAAAAGTCAAAACGTTAGAAACTTATAATTGTCCACATTGAGGAATTGATCTTGAAGCTCTACAATTAGTTAACTCAGCTTCTTAGGTGGTGTTTGGAACCAATGCTGTTTCCTCAGGCATGTTTTTTTTGAGAAAACGGTGCTGCATTGGCATACCGTTTTCTTAGAAAATGTTTTTCGTTTTTTTTTTTTTCCATTTGGGACCATGCATTTTTGAATGCCATGTCAGAACACTATTGCTAGCAACAGTAGAATAAACGAGAACATAAAAAATGGCGTTTTCTCATACCACACCTTTCCCTATTTTCGAGGCATGGTCCGAGATAGGGGTGTCAATTGACCTGTTTTGGTTTAGATCTAATCCGATCCAAACCTTATCAAATCGGATTTAAACGGTCAATTATAATTATTGGATTGGGCCAATCTAAAATAAATTGGTGCATATTCTTATTGGTTTGAATTAGACCTAAACCAAATTTCCAATAATCCGATCATGAGGCCAAACCCTTGTCCAATTTGAAATCAATTAAAATTGAAAACAGCATAAAATCACTTTTATGAAAGTACTTTTACGAAAACATTTTTATAAAAGTACTCTTATGAAAAGTATTTTTATAAAAGCGTTTCTATAAAAATACTTTTACACGAAAACACTTTTACAAAAAAAAGTTTTACGGAAGTACTTTTATAAAAGCACTTTTATAGAAATACTTTATAAAAGCACTTTTATGGAGGCACTTTAGAAAATCACTTTTACATAAGTACTTTTATGAAACACTTCTATGAAAGTACTTTTATAAAAGTATTTTTACGAAATCACTTTTATAAAAGTACTTTACAAAAGCAATTCTACAAAAGTACTTTTACAAGTCTGGAAGTACTTTTTGAAAAGTGCTTTTATAAAAGTACTTTTACAAAAGCACTTTTCGAAGTACTTTTATAAAAAGACTTCTACAAAAGTACTTCTATAAAAACACTTCTTTGAAAGCACTTTTATGAAAGTACGTTTTTAAAAGTACTTTTTTCAAAACCACCTACAAAAGTACTTTTACAAGTCTGCTTTTTTGAAAAGTGTTGTTACAAAAGTGATTTTATAAAAATACTTTTACAAAAACATTTTTCCGAAGTACTTTCAATAAAGTGCTTTTGTAAAAGCACTTTTATGAAAATATTTTTATCAAAGTACTTTTACAAATGTGCTTTTTCAATGCTAAAAGTGTTTTTATATAATTTTTGATATTTCATTCGGTTTGGATTGGATCCTTTCTAATCCATTTACATTTTGATGGATTGGATTGGATTTGGTTTGTATTGAATTTGGACAGAATTGGATCCAGTCCACTCATAAGTGGACTCACATTGGACTGAATCGGGTTGGACCAAATCTGTCCAATTGACACCAGAGGTAATGCTTTTTTTTTCAGAGCATCGCTCCCCAAACACCTACTTAATAGTTTGGAATATCATACTCAGACATGTAATTCAACATTATACCGTAATCTGAGGCCATTCTATATTGGGCCCTAATCCACTTTACTGTCTACATGTTGCTCTTGAGGACCCAAAATTCTTTATTTGGATCATTATTTCTTGTATATTGAATCTTGAATCTAGGCTTAGAGTTGGGCCCAAACCATAAGATGTTGCAATGAGTCTACCTACTAACATAGGATTTCCTTTAGACGCAAAGATTCAACCACATCAAATGAAACAGATGCCCACCAGACACTCTGTGGAGGAAAATCATCCTTTTCCATTAACAATGGAGTTGGGTATCCAAAGCATCTCACTTTCTCACTTTTATTGGACATTTGGAGCTCTGGACTTAAAAAATGAGAATTAGGTCAGCCTGTGGGCTAGTAGATGTTGTTGGTACCAGCCCAAAGATGGTTAGGCTAGACATGGATGCCCATTTTCATGGAAAACCATGGTCAGATACTATTCGGTCTCTATTTTACCTCAAATCATGACCGAGGCTGAACATATATGTTGGACCCGAGATCTCAGGTTAGCCCAACGATTATAGGCAATTGATTTAGGGCCTGTTTGGCGCATCTTTTTGAGAAGATCTTATGGTAGCTTTGACATGTAAAAGATGCATTGAGCTTTTGCATAAAGATCTGAGTAACCCGAAGCACGTTTGGCAGATGTATGTCATTCCGTACATCTTTCCGTGTCTTTCCACATGAGAATAAAATGTGAAAGACATGAAAAATTTCATTTGAAGCTTTCCAAAATCAGCCTAAAGTGAGCTTTTCGCGTTTTTTCAACTTGTAAATAATTGAAAGACTGCACGGAAAAACGCACCAAACGGTCCCTTACTAATTAAAAATAACATGGATCTGTTGGACCCGATATCTCAGGCTAGCCCAATAACTGATTCTAGCGCAGGCCCAGCGATCTCTTTTCTGCCCCAGCCGGGCTGTACGTGTGAACGTGTGATGTACATTCCGGTCCGGACCATCAACCCTTTTACCATCCTAATCCTGGATGTGTATAATGACATAAAAGGTCTTGTGCGTCGTATTTCACACGTCCGGACATGCATTTGAGAGAAAAGGGCACTTACGTACTTTCAATTAAAAAGCGAGGTCACTGATTCAACTCAGATTTCGCTAATACATATATTCCTCTGTTGAGTTTTAGGGTTTCTTCTGCAGCTGAAGCTTTGGAACTTTAGGGTTTAGGTTTCTAAAGTGCTGCTGCAACAATGGTGGTGAAGGGAGACAAAGGAAGAAAGGAGGAGGTCGTCACTAGGGAGTACACCATCAACCTCCACAAACGCATACATGGATGGTAATGGGGATTTTCTTTCTTTCTTTCTTTCTTTCTTTCTTTCTTTCTTTCTTTCTTTCGTAAATGGCTTAGATCTACCTCTTTGATTCAGAAACTTCTGCAAATTTATTCTGTTCATATTTGTATAATCCCATTCTGTTTCCCAGTTGTTACGAATCTGTTATTCGTTGATGTTGATTAATGTCTTTTAGAACTTCGGAAGTTTGGTTGCATTGATGATCCAAGTACCTAACTGTGTTTTTCTGTTAGGATGTTAATATTTGCTAATCTTAATCTGCTCAACAACACATGTACCAACTGTATCGTCCCGTTCAACCTGCAACTCTTCTAGATAATGTCTACATTTTTGAGGAAGCTGTGAAACTATAGGATAATTCTTCTTGTTTGGTTATTATAAATGAGGATTGGTTGTAATTGTTACTTGTATATTTGTTTCCATTCAGCCGGCCTAATTTGTTGAAGAATAGAAGTTGCCGTTTATTGAATGAAATTGGGATGAACAAGAATATTGTGTGATAGCTTCTACATTTTTCCATTGGTTTTACCCGTATCCTGGTGCCAATGGGCTTCCTTAGTGTTTGGTTTGCTTCGGCTGATCTGTATTTCGAGGCCATTCTGTCGATATTTAGTTTGTAAGTTCAAAAAAGATAGTTTTTAGTTATCTTGTTACCTCCTTTTTTTAGCTTTTTTTTATGAACGTCAAACTGTTCCATTTGATTTTGATTGAATTGGCTAAGTGTTATATATGTACTGCAAATCACACTATATTATTGTTTATCCCAACCCGGGCCAATTATGAAATCTTTTGTTCTTTTTGTTGAACTAGATCCTTTTTCATCGGAATCCCGTGTCTCTATCCATGCAACACTGGTACTAAAATTGCACGTATTTTTTTTTTTTGCTGCAAAGTGGGAATTAATTCATTAAAAGATGCAAAATTATTGACAATTGATAATTTGTTAAAATTGCACATGTTTAGTGTTATGCAAAGAATTAGTGATTCATTTGATTGACAATTATCTATCCCAATATTGTCAATTGCTGAGATATGCAGGCTGACAAAGGTGGTCAGAATCCTGCGTCCTGCCATGGGGCTGTTTCAGAAGGCCCCAAGTTTCTAAATTTCTATCCACCAATCCAATCAGCCTATCCTTTCCATGATGTTTTGATTATCGTCCAAATATAAAAGTTTCCTTAACATGACAGAATGTTGACCTTCTCATTGCATATGCTTATGACAGATTGCAACTGCTCTGTTTCTTTCAGAATAAATCAGTTCTATCAGAACTCTTGTGGTATAAAAACACAGTTTTCCAAGCATCGGACCTAAATTTCATTTGCATCTCCCAGGCTGGAAATTTTAGTCTGCATTATTTGTTATTTATGGGCTGTGTTTGTAAGCTGGTTTGTATGTTAGGTATTTTTTTTGCATCCCTGCCTCTGCATCTGCATGGATTTAGAGGGGGTGTAGTTGGTTGTGCTTGGGCAGGGTCCTTGGTCTTAATCAAGTTCAATAAATTTTGAGCTGACTGTTGATTGTTGATTCAGAATACCTATCTGTCTCATTCTAAGGTTCTTCAAAAAAAAACGTGATACCTGATACCTGTACTAGGGTGCCACATTGTGTCAGATATTTTAATTTTTAATGTAATTTTCAGAATATCAACCAGCCCTTTTCACCTTGCCATAACTGGGTAAAATAGCAGAACATTATAGATTCCCGTATGTAATTTTATGTTCTAAGGTGATGTGTCTCTTGATGGCAAGGGCAACATGTCTGGATGAGCAGAAACTAAAAACTAGTGAAACACCTATAGGATTCCCTGTCTGGTTTGGTCGGTGACTTGGTGTTTGATTCATGGTTCTGATAAAGCAAGATATTGTTCCAGACAATGTTCAAACTATTGATACTCTCAATATACATTTCTTTTGAATATTGAGAGTTTATTTTGATTGATACTCTTTTTTTTTTTCTAATTTTTTGGGTATTTTACTGGGCATGTCACATAAATTATTAAAATTTGAAATAGTTAAAATTATTTTAATTCCTCTTATTTGGTGTATTGGTGCTTCTGAAAACTGATATGTATTGGTCAATATGCATTAATATGCACCAATGCTTTTTAATCTCTTGGTTCCAGAACCATACCTTTTTTAATTTGAAATGACGATGCTTTTTTTAAGCAGACAATTCTAAAGAGGCTGCTATTTTCTGTAGTTCAATTTTTTGAACCATGAGATGATGTGATTATTGAATCATTGAATGTGTGTATGTGTATTTTAATTATTTATTTTTGAGGGTAAACTCAAACTCGTTATTGAGCAGAAAGATAATGGTTGGAGCTATTGTGGTGTTTTAGACGCACCATATAACTTTTATGGCATGCTTACATTAGCCAGCCATGTTTCGTTCAGTAAGCTGTAAAAGTTGTGTTCTATTCTACTGGTTATGATTGATCAGAAAGACTATGGAACAAGCACAACAGCATATACAATATAATGCTCATTTCAGTTGCTGCATGGTGATTAACCAGATGAAACCCAAAAACAACTATAAACTGAAATACACCCTTAGATTAGATGATAATTGTTGATTTGTGTGTGAATCATGATTGCTGATGGTGTATTAATTTCTGTTTGCAGCACTTTCAAGAAGATGGCTCCTAGAGCCATAAAGGAAATCAGGAAGTTTGCACAGAAGGCAATGGGGACAACAGATGTTAGAGTGGATGTGAAGCTCAACAAGCATATCTGGAGCCGTGGGATCCGAAGTGTGCCAAGGAGAGTCCGGGTGCGCATTGCTCGAAAGAGGAATGATGAGGAAGATGCCAAGGAGGAGCTCTACTCATTGGTGACAGTTGCAGAGGTCCCACCTGAGGGTTTGAAAGGATTGAGTACCAAGGTCATTGAAGAAGCAGATTGAACTTGCCAACGATCTAGGCTTTAGTTAAAGTTTAATTTTTTGTCCTGCTTTTGTTCAGTTTACAGACTTCAAGTTTTGGTCCTGAGTTTGGTAGGGAATTTTCTGCCTCCACAGTGGATGATGTATTTCGGAGTACTATTTAATCTATTTCGTTAGTATTTTTTAATCTTGATTATTGTTTCATCTGTATCAGTGGTACATTTGAGGTTTCAATAGAGTGCAAGAAAAAGCTTCTAACCAGGAGTTGGTTGTCATCATCCATGTAATACAAAGCCTAAATGTACCCAACAAAAAATAGAATTTTCCTTGCAAGTGAGAGTTGAGACATTGTGGTCTTTTGAAGCATTATCTGATATCTATGAATGAAGTACGACGAACTAGTGCCTGAGTGCCTCCGAAGTATGAAATATCTTGGTCCTGCAAATGCTTAAGAGACATGTAGCACTCATCCATTGGGATTTTCTTATTTTCAACTCTGTTCAGTGGCGTTAGTTGCCACAAGAGCATTACAAAGGTTCCGTTTAACAAATTATTATTGTGTGATTGCCATATCCAACCTATTTGGACTTTAGAGTTCAAAGTTCCTTCACCTACAATATCCGGATCCTGTGTGATGATGATAAGAGACTAGATCAGTGCTTGTTTTCAAAATTGCCACATCAGCCAAAACAAAAACACGCTTTCTTACCTTGTTTCTGTTGTGAGAATTGAAAGTAGGATGGTTTTGTTTCCATAAACAAACCATGCATTTGAACCATCATAATTATGTCTTCTAAAACAAAAACAAATACTCTTCAAACATTTGAAAACAAAATCTCATACATAGCCCACAACACTTTTCTATATTTTTGTTTTGAGAAACATTCTGTTTTCAAATTAGATGCTTTTGTTTTTGGATTTGGTACCAAGAAAAACAATGTATATGTTTGGCATCGAAACTATAGATACAACACTGTTTTCTCAGAAACAGTGCTGCTGATGTGTGGGTTGGAATCACTGTTTTCTGAGAAAATGGTGTCTTTTTTGTTTGAAAACGTTGCTGCTAGGTAGGACATTTCCTGGAGCAACAATAATGTTTTCTGTTTGGTACCAATGCTCCAGGACACGTTTTCAGCACCGGTACCTATTATGCAGTTCCATGTCATGTCTCTGTCACTGCCACCTCATGCCCCTCTTGGCAGCAGTGAGCTGCAGCTCCAGGAAACAGAAAATTTGGTGTGGCTTGGAACACTGTTTTTTATGGAAAAATGGTTTCAAACAACAGGTTTTTCTTGGAGTACCGTTTTTTTCGACGTAACACTAATGTATTGCCATTTTCTAAAACAATGGCATCGATGTCAAATAGGTGCAATATAATCTGTTTTCAAATCAGATGACTTCCATTTGTTTTGGAACTGGTAACAAAAAAAACCATTCACCTTGAGAAGGCCGTCTAAATATAAGGGGTTAGGATTCTATGGTTAGAGGGTTAGAGAATTAGCAAGTCTCACTGTTTAATGAAATCTTCAGGTCAACGGAATACAAATACAAATGTAAAAGTTATGCACAAAATATATTTGTATTTGCACTCTTTAGAAACTGAGCTATGTATTCATTTTCATTTGATTGGATTGAATGAAAATTTAGGGGTGCAAGTCGGGCTAGGCCGGGTTTTAGCTCAACCCAAGCCCAAGCTTGAGGTCAAGTCTGAACCATCCAACCTGACCCAGTTTGCACTAAAATTTGATACACTCCGTTTGGCTCGGCCTGGGCTGGGCTTGGGTCGTTTAATCAGATCACACTATATTTTTTTTATAAGTACGTGTATACATACATTCATATAATCAGTCTGGGCTTGGGTTAGGATACCGGTCTCTGACAAGGTTCAGGCTACCTAAGGGCTAGACTTGACCTCAGCCTGAAAATATTAATAAACCCAAACTTTTGGTCTCAGGCTTAGCTCAAGCACCCAAAGTTCAAGTCTAATCCATGTAAAATTGTGAATTGGGCCCGCCCAAATTGCACTTCTAGAAGATTTCAACCCCTAAAGTTGAGCACTGTAAATTCAAAATCAAGGGTGATTTTCAAATTATATCAATTAAGTAGAAACTAGAAAAATAGATCATTCGTCATGAGTTCAACACTCTAGGAAAAGCCTCAAGCAATGGTATAAAGGTTTTACAGAAGGGAGTGAAATTCCCCTTTTTTTTCCAGGTTTTAGTAGCAGAATTTAACTTTTTGCTCGGTGCTGATAGAAGTTACTTAAGAAAGACCATTTTTGTTATTCTTGATGTAAGAAAATTTCAGGTCCATTTCGTTTGCAGTTAGAATTGGAATCAGAATCCTTTAGAATCAGAATTGAAATTCTATTCTCATAATTTGTTTGGTTCAGACAGGAATTGAAATGGAAATTGGAATCTGTTGGAATGGAATTTCATTCTCAAGAGAGGGGAGGGAATGACCATTCCCTCAAATGGGAGAATGCCATTCCACCAGGAATAGGAATGGGATTCCAATTCTGCCCAACCAAAACAGTTGGAATCGGCATTCTAATTCCGATTCCAGACCCCCCTATTCCCTCAAACCAAACGAGACCTTCTATACTTCATTTTCTTGAATGCAAATTAGATTCCAATTTGCAAGAGTATTAGGGCTTGGGCTAAGCATTTGATAAAATTGAAATGGATCCAATCCAATGCTGTGTAAATACTTCAATTTAGGCAACTGACTTACCCCCTTAGGGCATGCTTTTATTTTTTTCAAAGGAAAATGATGAACAAGCAGTTATTTCTGTAAAGTGGGTAAAAGGAAGTGRAAGATCGTCTTCATCTTAATCTTTTTTTTTTTCAGAACGATACTATATTGTTTTCTCCAATATCTTGTGGATCCTTTTTATGACTCTAGAATTGCACTTTCCTAAGGAATTTTAATCCTTTCTGAATTGGTTAAAAGTAGATCCTAACTCTCCATAAAAATTTGATTAAAGGTTGATATTTCATACAAAACCAAAAGTCCAAATGAAGCACTAGAGATGGCAAAGCTCATATCTACAAAATTTTCCCAACAAGCAAATGATAAGCCAGCATTACGCTTAAAGATGCACTACTAATCTTTGAGGTTCTTTTAACAGGGGCAGAATTTGAAACTTTGGCTGATTCCCATTACAGGTTCTATTTGAACCAAACAACAGGAATCCGATACCGATTCCTGACTGAATCAAACAAATGCCACGAATAGGTGTTTCCGATTCTGATTCCGATTCTGGTTCTGTCCGTGAACAAAACGCACCCTCAATTTTCTCTAGGTAATTTTTTTGACAACTTACCTAAAATAGTGTTCTCCCAGGTGGGTAACTAAAGTAAAGCTGTCAAAATTAATGATACAAAAATGGGAAAAGTACTCTGCAGCTCACTGCAGAATTCTGAATTACAGATCCTCATGGTCTACTAGTAGCCATCCCTTATAAACCACATCCTGCCCGTGGATTTGGCACCAAAATCCACAGTCAAGATTCATCCCTCTGTGCGGTGGAGTTAAAATTTCTGAATTAGGCTGATCAGTCATTCTCCCTACAAAAATTCCCATTAAACAAGCTTTTAAAAACTAAAAAAAATCTTTCCCTCTTGACACTGACCCAAACTGTACGGTCACATTAGGCTCAGGAATTCTGAGGGGAACAGAACTGATTTTGTATGTAAAACGTTGCATTTATAATCCTTCCAAAGTGAGCCTTAGGAATTCTGAGGGGAACAGAACTCAAATTACCCCAAAGATCTAAGACAGATTATATAAATACACTTCCCCTCAATATAACAAAAAAAAAAAAAGAATTTACCTAAAAAAATTTAACAGAATAAAAAAAACATGGATAAATACACTTCCCTCAATATCACTTGAGAAACATTTAGCAAGTGAATTTATCGAAATAAATAATTTACCACAAAATAAATAACCCTATTAGAGTGATTACATTAGTTTATATGTAGTCCTAACAGATCATAAAATCGAGTTTCCACTTGTCTTGCCCATCCATGTTTTGTTTGTCTCCATGTTCCATATTTGTTAGGAAATCTGTGCATTGGTTTCGTTCCCTGTAAATAGTTGAAACCCCATACTTTGATTTGAATGGTCGTTGTTATTCTCCATGTATAACCACTTACTAGTGTCCATCCATATCTTCTGTAAGATCTTGATCTTTCCTTTTACATTTTTCTGTCCCCTTTGATCCATACATTGTTGAGGTGATCGTCCTTAGTGGGTCAATATTCCTTCTTTACTCAAATTACTCTTCAGTTGTCGTCATTTCTGTGATGTCGGCGCTGGTTCTTTCTTAGTAGTCTTCCTTTTCCTTTCCCCCCGGCTCCTGCTATGCTCCCTAGTCCCTACTCCCTAACAGCCTATTGTCGCTCTATCTCTGCTTTTTGCTTGATGTATCCAAGTTGATTTTTGACTTCATTTCTTCATGGATTTTGTCATTGTTTTCCTTTTGCTCCTTCTTCTCTGTTATAATTATATTGTTTGGTTTGATTGGTGTCTTTTTTGCTACCCTTATTGCTTTTGCTTTTTAAGGTCTGCATTGTAATTAATTTCTTTCTTTTATTTTATAAGATAGGTCTCAATCGTGCATTGGGAACATCTCCTGTAATTGTGAATTATTATTTATGGTAAGATGATCTCAATACACAGAATTGGGATGTGGTGTGAGCTTAGTGTGAGGAGTAAATCCCAATTTTTTTCATAAGAGCATGTCTCCTTCGTTGCCTTTTCTTTTTAGATTTAACACCATATTTGATTGTTGACAAATAGAGATGGCATTCATTATTCTCTTTTCTACATGGATCTATGTTCATCCTCTTGTTAATATTTTTTCCTTTGCCAGCATTTCTCTTATGGTAAGTTTGGCTGCTAAGAAACGCATGGGAAGAGAAGCATCTTTGAAGAATATTTTCTTTTTCTTACATTTGTTTCAAAGGAAGCCTCAGGAAAGGAAGAGAAAATAATGAGTTGTGAGTTCTCAAAAATCAATGGGTGGGGTCGATGAGAAAGGAAAAATGCGATAAAATATTGTTGAGAGGGACCTACCAGACTTCGTCTCCTTCCTTCCAGCCGGCCAACGATAACATCTCCGGCACCGTCTCCGGCATTTTCGTCATAAGGTAAGTTTTGATCTGGCATTCTCTCGTCATTTCAGTTCATTTCTATACCATTTTTGACTTGTTCCATTGGATGGGTTCCCCTCCAAATCTCATCACCAGTTCGTTCACCAGAGCTCAGATCTGGCATTTGTTTGTTCCAGATCTGCACATCAATATGAATATGAACTCAAATCTGGCATTTGTTCATTCACCGGACATTAACACGAACCCAAATCTGATGTTCAAACCATTTTTTTGTTCTATTGATCTCAGATCTATTGTTGTTTTTTGATATTTTTTATTTTTTTTCTTTAGGTCGTTTTTTTTGTTCTATTGATCTCAGATCTACTATTTTTTTGTTGATATTTTTTATTTTTTTTGCTTGGTTGTCTCAAACCATTTTTTTGTTCTATTGATTTCAGATCTATTGTTTTTTTGTTATATATATTTCAGATCTACTATGTATTTTGGATCTGTGAAGTCACATTCTTTTCCATGTTCAGTGCTTCACCGCCCCTACTGAAATTATAGACTCAGTACCCTTCTTCTCCACTGCCTCATTTGAACCCTTGAATTTCAACCCCTTTTTCTTATAAACTCTTATATATTTGTTTGTTGGACCAGCCCCGATCAGGCCTTCTTTCAGTCTAAATTTACAAATTTCCTTCTCCTACCCAAGTTGCAAAGGGTTTCTTTCTATTTATTTTTTCTTTGTTCTATCTATTTTTGTAATTTTCTTTGTTTCATGCTCCGTGTTTCACATATATTCCACAAATTGTTTTCTGCATTGCATGCAACAAGCAAGGTAGAAAAAAGAGTCTACAAACTGTGTAAGTATGTTGAACCTGCAAGAACAAGTAAAATGAAATTTGAACTTTTTGTCTCATCTGCACATATTGATGTTGTTCTGTTTAATGTTAAAATTGATCAACCAAAGTAGATTTATCATTCCTTTCCATAGTGTGATAATTTAAATGGAACTATTGCTTATAGATCACATTCACTATCAAAAACAAATATACAAACAAACTAAATATAAAAGAAAGCAAGTTAATTTATAAGAAGTAAAGAATGTTTACAAAAATTGTCAACCTAGATTTATGGAAAACTAATATAAGACCATAGGCTTTCATCCTTTCACAATAGTCAAACTAGGTTCTAGTTCAAGCCAAACCAAATCCACCCACCTGAAGTTCTGAGCAACTTGGTCCTGGTCAATCCATGACTAGAAAAATGTTTTTCTTTTAAGCCATTTTAGCCATCAACAAGTAGCACCTAAATATTTGAGTACCACATAAAGTGGTGAGAGAGAGAGAGAGAGAGAGAGAGTAGGCCAGATGAGCCATAGTACCCATTGAATCTTCAAATTATATTTTTTACTGCTATTATCTCAAATACATTGTGTGACAGTTGAATATTGTTAATTTCCCCCCGTTGTTTGATTAAACTGCTATCTCATTCAAAACATAAATACAAAGCAAGGCTAGATAATTTATTCTATATAAACATAGATGGACAATGAGATGTTGATTGCGTTTGCTGGAGTTGCAATTAGTGGAATTGCAGTTGCATTGACCCTTGTACAAGAATGGTTGGACTATGTTGATAGTGAACATTCTGTCAATCGAGACTTACAAAGACAAGATCTATTGGATCGGTTGTATAAGGGACGACAAGTTGATTGTTACAACCAGCTAAGAATGGGGAAGGAATCCTTCTACAGGTTGTGTAAAATTCTACGGGAGACCAGACGACTCCATGATACACTGAGAACTAGTGTAGAAGAACAAGTTACTAGATTCCTGCACATTTTAACACATAATGTTAGGAATAGGACTATGGGATTTCATTTCAGTAGATCTGGAGAGACTGTTAGCCGCCACTTCAACTCCGTGTTAGATGCAGTTTTGAGTTTAGAAGATAGATACCTAATCCAACCAAGTAGTCTTGACACACCACCAGAGATTAGAAACTGACATGACTTTTAGCCATACTTTCAGGTAAGGAAAGTGTCAATATTACATATGTCAATTATCTATGTTGATTTAGGTAGTGAATCACATAGTACAATCAATATGCTTTGCTTGGTAGGATTGTGTTGGGGCAATTGACGGGACACACATACCTGTGAAGGTTCCACTAGCAGATGTAGCTAGATTTCGCAGTCGTGAGTCCTATCCAACACAAAATATCCTTGCTGCATGTTCTTTCAACTTGCTTTTCACCTATGCATTACCTGGATGGGAGGGTGCTGCATCAGACTCCCGCATGTTAAGTAGTGCAATGGCAAGGGAACACCAACTACATGTTCCACAAGGTGCTAATACATATCCATATAGGTCATATCAGGTGTAAATGTGGAATTTGGTACCTAACCATTTTCTCGTATGTTAAAATAGGTAAATATTACTTGGTGAATGCTGGGTTTGCTCTAAAGTCTGGCTTCTTAACACCATATCGGAGCACAAGATATCATTTGAAGGAATGGGGTGCATATCAACCTGAGAACCCTAAAGAGTTATTCAACCTCCGTCATGCTTCACTACGAAATGCAGTTGAGCGAATTTTTGGGGTTCTCAAGAAGTGGTTTCCACTATTGGTTTCTGAGCAGCATTACCCATTCAAAACACAAGTCAAGTTTGTCTCTGCATGTTGCATATTACATAATCATGTCATGGGTGTGGATCCGTATGACCGAATCATGTCTAAATACGATCACGATGCTGCTGAAGGTGCAGAGATTGATGCAGATGACAGAGAAGTGGTAGATGATGTGGTTGATGATATTCAAGTATTTCAACCATCTCAACACATTAGTAGAAATGAGTCTGTCAGAGAAGGACACCGTCTTAGAGAGGAGATAGCAAATCAAATGTGGGCAGACTATTGGTTGGCTCAGTCTAGGCATCGACATTAAACTTCTTTGATTAATCTTCACATGTATTTCTATGTTTGACTTCACAATGTACATGTACTCCTTATTTAACTATTTGCATTTTTAATTAGCTTTTCTTTGACTGGTTTATGTTAAGAACACAACTATCTTGTGTTGGACATTATTGTTTTTAGTTGTACCATGTGTGTGTGTGTTTTATTATGGATGATTGGAATGATGGAACTTGGTGTAAATTTGGTTAATACTGGTTGAAATACTGATATGAACTAGTTGGGGTGGCATGCTAGATGTATGAATTTTATTATGTTCACTGTGTAACTTGACTTATTGTTGCTTGGTTAGAGTTAGACATGGATACTCAGTCCAACGAAACCGATAGTAGATCTAATAAGGTGAACATGAGCTGGACAAGTGAGATGGATAACACACTGATTGAAACTATGGTGGAGCAAGTCACCCTTGGACACAAGGTTGACAAGAGCTTTAAGGCTCCGGCATATACTACAGCTGCAAGAGCCATAAGTCTGAAATATGAAGTGGAGTGCACACAGAACCACATTAGGAATTGAATGAAGACAATAAAGAAGAATTTCTCCACGATAACGAACATCACCAATTCTAGTGGTTTTTCCTGGAATGACATGACTAAAACCATCGATGCAGAGCCCCGAGTGTGAAATGAATACATCCAGGTAAACTTCAATATGATATTCATCCTAAATATTACAATACACAAGTAAGATATGAACTTGTAGCAATTGATCCATTACAGTTGGACAGGGACACCCAAAAGCAAAGCAATTTAGGAGAAAATCCATCAACAACTATGACCAAATCGTTATAGTATGTGGAAATAATCAAGTAACTAGTGTTGGTGCATTCACTACTAGGGAACTAAGCAGGTGTGAGGCAGCATCAGTGAATGAAACCACTAGCATGCTGACAATGCAGGATCCTGTATTTGATGAGGTTGAAGGAGACAATGTTGGTGACTCAACTCATCAGGCTAGGCCACCTGAGGAGGGTAGCTCAGCTGAGTGGAGAGGTCTTGGGAAGAGAAAGTCGTATGCAGCTGCATTTGCTAAAGAAGTACATGAGATTGCATCTAGCATTAAGTCTTTGGCTTCTGCTGTTGAGAAGGGAATCGGGTTGCTGAAGAAGGAAAAGCTTTATGATGATGTGCTAAGCTTATCAATTATCTGATTGAGTCTGAAAATCAAGCAATAGCATTTTATGCCTTGGCTCCGGAATTGAGGAAGGCATGGTTAGATTTGAAGTTGGGCCCACTTAACTGAAGTTTCTTTGGTAACACCCTTTTTTGGAGACACTAATGAATATGGTTCACTAACACCCCACTTTTTTGTTATGCTTTATGGGTTGTTTCTTGGCTACGTATTTATGTTTTGTAAAACTTGAACATTACTTAGATTGACATATGACTCAAACATGTCTTGACTGGCTTTGTCTTGACCAGTCGATAGAAACAATCCTTTTTTGTGGAAGACTTGAACATTACCCAAGTGGATGATTAAATGAAGATACTGATGGTTCATGAATGATGGTTGAATATTTAGTTTGAACATGTGTTAATCTATTTGTTAAATACAGGTCTTCACTCAATATATGGGATTCACAAGTTCCCATGGGAATGTTGATTTGGCATAATTGGGTTGATGAATTTATACAGGGTTTTCCAACTTAAGATGAATGTATATTCTAACTCTTTGATTGACAGTTTTTAACTCAATATATGGGATTTAGAGGTTCCCATGTAGATAATTGGTTTTGTTGAATTGATGACATTAAACAGGTTTATTACTTGAGTTTATAAACTTAAATAGGTTGCTCAACTATTTGATTGAATGATTACTCAAATAGGTTTTCGTCATTGAAATTAGTATGGATGGATCTCTTGAAATCAGTACAAATGGAACTTAAATATGTTTTATTTCATATTGGATTTGGTGGTTGATTTATTTGCAAGTTCAATTATAAGTTAATAATATAGGGTTTGATGGAATATGTGCTTACGTGGTTATAGGTCTAAAATGGCAAAATATTATGTTGTGTTCAAAGGGCGCCAACTAGGAATTTACTTCACATGGGTAGAGTGCAATGCCCAAGTACACAAATTTAGCGGAGCAACTTTTTGTTCATATATCACATATGAAGAGGCCATATATCATTTGCACTGATACCAACGTAATATGCACCCACCACCCAAACAACCTACAATTGGTAACACCTCTAGGACCTACGTAGAGGATATTGGCATGGAGGTGGAGGCGTTGAAAGAACCCCATTCCCAATCTAGTCATTTTTGTTTTGATAGTCAGTTTGGTGGTTATGACAGTTTTATATTTGCTTAAATGATGCCATAGGTATTTGCTTGCTTTGAAATGATCTTAGGAGTTAATTTTGATAGTATGGGTATGCTGTATTAAAAATACACATGTTTTTAATATATCCATGTCAACTTGCCACGTGGCAAGACACAAACAATATTAGGCCATGTCATCCTGTAAATAGGATAGGGCTGTGTTGTGGAATTGGATTTCATTTTTGCTTAAATCAAACATCCTGCAAAATTTTCACATCAACCAAACACTGGAAAGAAAATTCTATGGGATAATAGGTCTCAGCAAACAAACACAGCCACCCTAATTGAGAAAATAAAATTTTCCTTTCTCACCCCATCTCTTCTTGGCAACCAAACGGGCCATTAAGCTATGCTTGATCTTTAGGCTCAGTTTTTGTTGCAGTGTGAATTTTCTTTTGCACTGGCATAAATGCAAAAGAGTGCAAATCCTGCTTTTGGTTCAGATTGACCTTGTTTTTTTCTTTGTTGTTTAAGTTCTGTTTGGGAAGAATATAAATACAAATATGTACAGTATAAATACAAGGTTTTGAAATACTAAAAATATTTGTTTAGCTTCGGCTTGCACTCAATATATTTGTATTTASGTCTTCCCAAACTGAGAATAGGAGGTAAAATCACACTCTTCCCAATTTATATGAAAGAGAAATAAGGTGAAAAGAAGGAGTTCTGTCCACCTGCCAACAAAACATGTTCCAACCCTCTACTAACATAATCTCACATCACACATCTCATATATGGTGGGTATCAGTCTCATGGTGAGATGTGCAGTGTTATATCAAGTTGATAGAGGGTTGGAACATATTTTATTGGCATAAGATCTCAACTCAAAAAAAAAGTAAGGGTGATCATGGGCCAGACCTTGATATAATTGTTCAGCTTGTCATTGAAAATTGTACAGAAAAAAGTATTGTTTCATTCTTTCTACTTCTTGAGATTCCCAGTCCTTTTGAGAATACTGTGAATTGCCCCATGATTTTTTAAATATTAGAATCAAGAAAGTGGCAAAAGTCCTTTTTCACTTTCATTCTCTACCATTCTTTCATCATCTCCCTACTCATATCCCTTATATAATTTTCAATCCATAATTTTAGGCAATATTAACATAATTTATCTTTAATTATTTATTAATACAATTTGATAATTTCATTGTTTTTGGACAATTCAAAGCAACTTCTTTCTTGAATTCTTGCCTTGTCTATGGTCCCCATTTCGATCTGAAACATTAATGTTTTGGAGGTGGAAATGAGGCATGTTCCTTTTCCAAAAAACCTAGGGTGAGTATTTATTATTATTGAAAACCCCAAATATAAGTTATTACAGTTATGAGTTATAACTAATAGAATTTCATTTTCGGTACATGACATGCGTGGGTAAATGTTTACAGTACCTAATTTCTATTTCTTTATTTAACCACTCAGGGAGCGTTCTCCAAAGTGTGAATTATTCTTCTTTTGTCAGTTTCAAAAATAAATTAAAACCATCTGGTTTGAAGATGAATTGTTTATCAAAATAAAAAACACGGAAACATGTTATTGGTTGTATGCAATTTTTTTTTTGTTTTCAAATGTTTAAAGAATGAAAATTTTGTTTTTTGTTTTACAAAACATAATTTTGATGGTATCAAAGGAATCAAAACCAATTGTTGTCATTTTTCAAAGGGTTCAACTATGATGTTGGAAAGATTTGATACCATAAGAATTTACAATCAATCAACATGCATTATAAAAGTAGTGTAACTGAATTTTCATCAAATTCATCGAGGATTGTGATCGGTCGTAAACTTTCAGGTATCATGTCTTTCCCACATCATAGACTAGTGGGAAGTCTCACTTGAAGCCAAAAAGAAAGTCTCTCAAAACATAATTGTACACAATTGATACCAGAAATTTATACGAATAGTTGTGGACCGGTTTTCAGCGTTTTGGCCTTTTGCTAAGACTTGCGACTTTAGAGATGCTTTGGTTGGTCAAGGTTAAATTGCAGTGGTCATGAGTTACTTTGTTCCAATCACCCGTGATTATATCTGTTAATGGGTTGGGTAACCAGATATGATGTTTTGGCCCGGCCCGTTATAAGTCGGAATTGGAGTTGCATTTAACCCCATTAACTCGTACGATGACCCAATGTACCAGAGCCGACTATATTTGTTGGCTCGGGCTTGGGTTTTTTTATAAATGCCTAGCCCGACCCCAATCCCACTTAACTAAGCTTAGTTTGGTGACAATATAACATCTTTATAGATATAAATTCAGTTGATTAGGATTTTGTTAAGAATATCAACAATGGCTATTAGGGTCCTTGGGAAAGAACTGAAGTATCTATTGTTTAATCTATAATATTTCGAATGCTTAGTTTTATTCTAGGTGGGAAATGATTTTAAAACATACTAGAGAATTTATGAGTACAATGAACATAAAAAACCAATTTTGCCACAACATTTACTTAAGGATTCTATTGTGTATGTTGTGACTTCTTCTGGAGATGGTATTGTTGGTGGGGGTTAAATTTCGTTGGTCATGGATTACCTGGTTCCGTTTCCCAAGAATTAACACAGTTTTTGGGTCAAATAGGTTGATCAACTGAGATGGCTAGACCTATTCCTATTTAAGATTGTTCATGAGATTAGATCAGCAAGTTTGCCAGGACACCAATATGCCAGGACTGAACAATTTTTTTCGTCTTGCACTCGGGCTTTTTTTGTAAATGTCTAGCCCAAGCCCACTAAATCGAGCTTGCGTTGGTGATGGTGGAACAACTACGTATATATAGATTCTGTTGAGTAGGATTTTGTCAAGAATACCAACAATGATTATCATGATCCAAGTGGAAAAAATATATCATTAATAGTTCATTCTAAAATTTTTTGAATGCTGAGTTTGATTCGTGGGTAAAAAGAATTTTAAAACGCAGTAGAGGATTTCGTAGTACAACAAACAAAGAAAACCAATTTTATTCTAGAATTTACTTCAGAATTTTTTTGGGTATGTTGCAACTTTATGTTAAGTAGGATTTTGTCAAGAATATCAACAATGTCTATCATGGTCCTTGGGAAATAACTGAAGTATCTATTGTTTAAACTATAATATTTTGGATGTTGAGTTTCATTCTAGGTGGGAAATGATTTTAAAACATACTAGAAAATTTTTTAGTACAATGAACATAAAAAACCAATTTTGTCACATCATTTACTTAAAGATTTTATTGTGTATGTTGCAAATTCTTCTAGACATGCTATTGTTAGTGGGGGTTAAATTTCGTTGGTCGTGGCTTACCCAGTTCCGCTTCCCAGGAATTTATGCAGTTTTTTTGGTCAGGTAGGTCGATGAACTAAGATGGACATGCCTGTTCCAAGTTGGCATTGTTCATGAGTTTAGATCCGGAAGTTCGCCCCAGCTCCAATATACCGAGCCTGAACAATTTTTTTCTAGTTGTGCTTGGGCCTTTTTTGTAAATGCCCAGCCCGAGCCCGCTTAATCGAGCTTGCATTGGTGACGGTGGAACAATTGCGTGTATATAGATTCTGTTGAGTAGGATTTTGTCAAGAATATCAATAATGGTTATCATGGTCCAAGTGGAAGAACTATATTATTAATAGTTCATTCTAAATTTTTTTGAATGCTGAGTTTGATCCATGGGTAGAAAGAATTTTGTACTAGCATTTACTTTAGGATTTTATTGGTTATGTTGCAACTTAAGAGAAACTTGTGCTGGTCAAGGTTAAATTGTGGTGGTCATGAGTTACCCCGTTCTGATTACCCAGGATTATACCAATTAATGGGTTGGGTAAACCGAAATGAACGTCTTGGCCCGACCTGTTCTAAATCAGAATTGGACTTGCATTTAGCCCCATTAGCTCGTACGAGGATCTAATGTACTGGAACTAACTATGTTTGTCGGATTGGGCTTGCGCTTTATTATAAATACCCAGCCCGATCCCGAGCCCACTTATCCCAGTTTAGGTTGGTGACAGTATAACACCTTTGTAAATATAAATTCTATAGAGTAGGATTTTGTCAAGAATATCAACAATGGTTGTCATGGACATTGGGAAAGAATTGAAATATCTATAGTTTAATCAATAATGTTTCTAATGTTGAGTTTCATTCTAATTTGGAAATGATTTTAAAACGTACTAAAATTTTTCTAAGATTAATGAACATAGAAAACCAAATTTGTCCCAGCAACTACT